CTACCTACTCCGGTGAAGGAGCGAATCGCCTCCCGCTGAACCGGTGGTTTCGCGAGGTCGACATCGCGATTGCTTCGAGAATGATCGAAGCGCAAGGGACAAAGGTCAATCTCTTATTGTCCCAGTTGTCCGGGAAGGCCAAGGAATGGGCCCTCGGTAAACTTGTCGTTGATCACGACGCATTCCCCACTCTGGATTCTCTCCAGAAAGATCTCAGGCTCGCGTTCGAGCCACCTCAAGACGAGTCCCGCGTGCGTGCCGAGTTCTTCGCCCTTCGTCAAGGCAAAATGACTATGCGCGACTACGTTCAAAAGACCCGCCACCTCGCGTCATGCATCGTGACAAATCCGATTGACACAGCATCGCAGGTCCATGTATTCGTATTCGGCATGCGTGAAGGCATGACACGGTACTGCCTGACCCGAGCGGAACCTTCCTCTCTCGAGGAAGCATTCGCCCTCGCGTTACGCGAAGACTACGTTGTGGCGGCGTCTTACGCGCGCGCGATGTCAACGGCAGCTCGTGAGTCAGCCCCCGAGCCCATGGAGATCGACGCGATTGACGCATCGAATAATCATCGTCAGTCGACTCCTCGTGGGCCCAACGGCCGTCCTAATCGCCCGCTCACTTGCTTCCGCTGCCGGAAGATCGGTCATCGCGCGGCGGAATGCCGCGCGCCAGCGCCGGTACTCGCGCACACCGCTGAAGTCTCACCTGCCGTTCAGTCAAAAAACGGTCAGGGCCAGTAGGTGCGGGGCGCCCTACTGGCTGGAATGGAGGTCCGGGCCCCCCGGTGGCTACCCAACCTTCTAGCCCTCCTGTGCTCCACGCACACTTTAATGCCACCACCACGTCGGGCGACTCGAGGCTGATCATCGTCAGTCTTCATGTCGCCGGCGCCCGGCGACCACTTCGCGCACTCCTGGACTCAGGAGCGTCGAATAACTTCTTTCGTAAATCGTGCTTATCGATGCTTCCAAGAGAGATCGCAGTCCGTAATGGTCGAGGTCAGGTCGTCGTCAAACTTGCTGACGGAAATCCACGGCGCGTTGCGCGACGCGAGATCACGTTGCCGTACACATTCGACGGCTTCCGCAGCAACGACGACTTCCTCGTGATTGAGATGAACTACGCGCTCGACTGCATCTTGGGTATCCCGTGGTTGCCACGATATCAACCAGAGATTGACTGGTTGGCTCGGTCGGTTAAACACCGCTCTGGCTTCGATGTGAATGAGGTGTTCACTCACCTCCTGGTTGCCCAGAAGGACTGGCCCCATGTCAGGGTCGTGGACCGGTTGTCCACAATGCAGGTTGAGCAGAGAGCGAGCGATGGCCCTCTCTGTATGTCTTGCACAGCGCTGTTGCGCGAAAACCCCTCGCTGCGAAGCGAGGTTGATTACACTTTGGCGGTAGAGCAGGGGCTCCCGCAATCCGAACAGGCGGTCGAGCATGAGTTCCCGCCACGTAACACGGCGGGCGCGCATGAGTTCCCGTCACGCAACACGACGGTCGAGCATGGGCTCCCGTCACGCAACACGGCGGTCGAGCATGGGTTCCCGCAACACACCAAGGCGGTTGAGCATGGGTTCCCGCAAAACGCTCTAGCGGTTGAGCAGAGGTTCCCGCAACGCGATTCGGCGGTCGAGCAGTTGGAGCTCCCGTCATCCACAGCGGTGGTCGAGCAGCTGACACTCCCACCGGCTACGACGGCGATCGAGCAGGGGCTCTCGCCAGTCGATGGCGCGGTCGAGCATCGAGAGCTCCCGCGCACTACCGACACGGTTGATGGTGCCCCTCCGTGTCTAGAGGGGGGGGGGTGATCCCTCGTCCAGCGAAAGCGAGTCTTCTGTCTCGAGCAGCGGTTCGAGACGCCACAAGAAGAAATCCAAGCGACGCCGTCTTAAGCGACGTGGTCAGCCCACCGCCGATATCGCAGTGAATGAGTCCATACACGTCCTGGAACACGTGGAAGGAGGCGCCGTTCGCTCACGCACACTTGACATTGAGAGCCCACCTCGCGAAGCTTCTTCCATCACACGCCTTCCGGGTCTTTCCTGGAAGCATTTTCTGCGCGATCTGAAGTCAGGAGACCTCGAGCAGGTCTGCTTGATCACCGAGTCTGCCTCGGCGGAAGAGATCCACACGGTCGCTACCGACAATCTTCCACTTCGTCCAAAGAACGCTGAGCCGAAGTCGGCGCGCGAAGAGCGCTTCGCTGCCCAGTCGTGGGAGTCACTCCGCGACTCGGGCAATCCAGTATACGACACCGTCTGCGAGTTCGCGGATGCTTTCCCCGACAAGATTCCAGCTGAACTTCCTGCTGACAGAGGCATTCGCCATGAGATTGATCTCGCGTCGGGTTCCAAGTACTGTGTGACGCGACAGTGGCCCCTCCCACGCGATCAGGTTAAAACCATTGACGACTTCTCCGAGAGCCGCCGCAAAGCGGGTCACGTGCGGGAGAGTACCTCGCCACACTCGAGTCCGACGTTCTGCGTGAAGAAGGCCACGGGTGGTTGGCGAATTGTTCACGCTTTTAACAAGCTAAACGACACCACCATCCCAGCACAAACTCCGATCCCTCGGAAGGATATGGTACTTGACACCATGGGCCGCAGTGTTATCTTCAGCGCCATCGACCTGACCGATGGGCTTCTATCAGATCTTGATGCGACGCAGTGACATCCCGCTCACAGC